AATGGCATCTAATGCTACTTTGTCCAAGAACCTTTCCTTCCCTGGGCTGGGTTTTCAGAAGCACTTAGAAGCACCTGCAAGTTGGGGTCCAACCTGCTTGCCTAACTAGCCAGGCATGGTTTGCAACTACTTGTCCTCAAGGGACAAAGAGCTTTGAAACCCTTTATCAGGCAAACTGGGGTACGCTTTGGGGTATTAAAATCTGCAGTACAGAATTCAAGTGATGACTGAAATGCTAAGTTTTGGGCCTAGTACAGTATCTGCCGTAGAAGAACCCTTGGGGGAGCCGTTGGGTGTTGAGCTTTTCTAAAAGTGTATCGTATCTGTACGGAGTTGGAAAGACATAATATGGTAAAGTTTGGTTTGTGGGTTTGTTTTTTTTCTTCTCAAAACAGCCTTCCTGTTTTAACTCAAGTATTTATCTTGTTTAAAATGAATCTACGACTTGAAGCCACCTGCAGTTTCACATGGTGTGATGCAGTGAATAATGCAGGTCCAAACTGTGAAGGCACCAAAGGCCAAAAAAAAAAAAAAAATTGAATAATGTCATTAATTACAAACTGAGTGAAAAATTGCAGTGTGAAGTGGATTTTTTTGAAGTGGAGCCAGAATTACTTGTCTTGTGGTTACTCTTCTGATAGAGGTTTCATTTTCTTCAATTAATGCACTTATAAAGCCAGGTTTAATGATAGCGTAACTGTTTGGTTATGTGATGGCAGGTGAAGGTATCGATTTAATCACAAGCATGAATTGGACTTTTAATCTTCCTCCATAAATTCAGGCAGCAAAAAAAAAGTGGCATCATGTGGAGGGAAGAACCCCAAGGTGTATATAAGGTCTGAAGTGTTAGATCCCAAACATTTGCACTCACAGTTGAAGAAATGGCAAATATACAAAGAACATATGAAAATCCAGAGCATAGTTATCTCTAAAAGTTGATGTCTATATAGACATTGGGTTGCTCCAAGTGAGGATCTGTCCTGGCAGAAGTTAAAGCTGTATTGAAAGTTTTGGGCTGGTGGCTTTGTTTTTGCACCAGGGGTGAAGGGAGCTGGTATTTTGTTGTTGTTTTGATCAAAAGTGGAAAACTTGACTGGCTGTGCATCTGAGGGTGAGATGGGGAGCCATTAGCTGTTGTTTCTGCCAGAGTGAAAAATACCAGGGCAAAAGTAATTGGACTGGAGAGAGCATTAGATAGACCGTGACATGTAGGAACTACATTATTTGTTTTATCTCCGTGCAGCGATTGTTCACCTGATAACATTAGTTTCTCTTAAAATATAATTAACATTTTATTCCACTAAGCATCGTTGTGTGTTAGATATTAGTGGGACACAGCACAGTATGTTGTAAATACTGGCTTTGGTGCCTAGATGGCTAATTCAGTGCTAATGTCATTATCAAAGGTTGCAGAGGAAGAATGTCCTAAAAGGTCTATTCCTCCTGAAATCATCTCCTGGAGTTATTCAGATGTGATTAATGATGCATCTTCTGCAGCAACTTTATTTATTTGGTATGTCCCCTTCGTCTTCTTAAGAAATGTTAGGGGAAAAAAAAAAAGTAGAGTCAGTGTCCTTTGCTTTTATTTGCTTCCTGATTAATTTTGGTCTTGTAAAGCAACATGTGAACGATTCCTGGTGTACATCAACCCTTCGTAGTGTCAGGGCAGGGATTTGAACAAGCCTTCTGCCCACTTACCTAAGAAATGTGGGAGATTAGGGCTTTATGTATCTCGACTCTTACGTGAATTCATTTTTTTTCCATGTTGTACTCCAAATGGAGGTGCTCCTTGGCTTGACTTCTTTCTATTAAGAGGATGCTGCCCTTGCAGAAGCAGTGACCTTTGAAAAACAAGTCTCAAGTAATCCTTTTATTTTCCTGAGATCATATAGCACAGTATCCAGTTGCAGGCTTTTAAGATGGAATGATTGCAGGCTTTGTCCGCTTGCCTGGATTGGATTACATTTTGTTTGACAAAGAAAACTCTAAAATACTTATACCTTCCTTCCTTCAATTCAGAGCATCGCAATCTCCCTGCCTTGAGGACGCTGAGCGGTTGCCGTATCATCCCACCACCGCTGGGACTTATTGAATTTACTTAATTGGCCTTTATCTCTCCCAGTTACACTTTAACGCTTCTTTTGAAGGAGATTCAGAAAGGATAGAGTTACTCCTTTTCTAATTTACTTTGAGAGTTGAGTTACTCATTTCCTTATCTTCCCTCCGTTTCCCGGTAGAGCGGGGCGTTCTGCAGAGCCGCGATGGAACGGCAAGAGATTGAAGTCCGTGGAGCTGTGACGTAGCCAAGCTTTTTACACACAGCTTTTTGAAGAGGATGCTTTGTTTTTAAAACACTTGTGAGCCTCGGCCCTAGAAACACTTCAGGAAACCTCAATAAAGTGCATGAAAAGTCCATTATTTGGTCAGGCGATCTTGACAGTGAGAATCGCGTGGGTTTTGCCTTCCTGAGAGGTGTTCGATACCAGGGAGGGCAGAGGTCTTCTCTTGCTGCTCTCCTCAAGTTGGCTTTTGCTAATAGGACTTTAAAAAGTATTAATGCTGACTTTCTCCATCCTGCCAGACCTCTGCTGCCAGCTCTGCAAGCCTGGGGTGGGCATTGCAGGGATTTGGGGAAACTGGAGAGCAGTTGCAGAGACTTGGACAGGCTGGAGGGCTGGGCAAGGAAGAACCTCATGAGGTTCAACAGGGAAAAGTGTAGGGTCCTGCACCTGGGGAAGAAGAATGTCAGGCACCAATACAGGTTAGGGGTGGACCCGCTAGAGGCAACTACTGAAGAGAAAGATCTAGGGGTCCTGGTGGACAGTAAAATGACAATGAGTAAACAGTGTGCTCTTGCGGCCAGGAAGGCCAATGGTATCTTGGGTTGCATAGGGAAGAGTGTAGCCAGCAGGTCAAGGGAAGTCATTCTCCCCCTCTGCTCTGCACTGGTGAGGCCACAACTGGAGTACTGTGTCCAGTTCTGGGCTCCCCAGTTCAAGAGGGACAGGGAACTACTAGAAAGAGTCCAGCGAAGGGCAACAAAGATGATTCAAGGATTGGAGCATCTCCCTGATGAGGAGAGACTGAGAGAGCTGGGACTCTTTAGTCTGGAGAAGAGAAGGCTGAGGGGAGACCTTATCAACGCCTACAAGTATCTCAAGGGAGGGTTGAAGGAGGAGGGAGCCAGACTCTTTTCAGTGGTTCCCAGTGAGAGGACGAGGGGCAACGGGCACAAGTTGGAACATAAGAGGTTCCACTCAAATATGAGGAGAAACTTCTTCACGGTGAGGGTGACAGAGCCCTGGAACAGGCTGCCCAGGGAGGGTGTGGAGTCCCCTTCTTTGGAGATTTTCAAGACCCGCCTGGATGCTCCTGAGTAACATGCTCTGACAAGCTCTAGGCAATCCTGCTTCAGCAGGGGAGTTGGACTAGATGATCTCTATGGTCCCTTCCAACTCTAGAAATTCAGTGAAATTCAGTGAAACTGAGTAGTTTGGTGTCCCCATCCCATTTGCAGAGATGCAACTGAGTAGTTTGGTGTCCCCATCCCATTTGCTCGTGATAAGAAGTGATCAGTGATGTCTGTTTAACCAGGGTTGTAGAATCACCTCTTATTTGGTACCACCACCCCCCAGTGAGACTTCTTTTCTGATGTCCCTGGAAACCGTGTAGCTCCTTTTGCATCAGAAGGGATCTGACCACACACACACGTGTGTGGACCACGTGTCTCACATGCACAATCCCTAACTTGCCGTGCACAAAACATATTTAGGCATTAATTAGTGGGAAGTCCTACAGCAGATCAGCAGTTTGAGTCCAGGCTGTTATTCACCTTCACATAGCCCAAAAAACATTGAGGAGGACATCAGCTGAGGGGAAGGTGACTTCAGTCCAGGGATAATTGTCTGGAGCTCTTCCCTTAATCTTTCTGGGTGAAGATCAGAAATTGGCAACATTAATTTCTTTGTAGTCTTTATTTTACTTAATGGGTTGGGTTATTTTAGTATTATGATGATTAGCTGGTCCTGCATATAGGAGAAGCCTAGAAGTGTGTTTTTTTGTTTTCTAATGGTTCCGAATACATTTTGGAAGATGAAAAGTGGTCGTTTGTTACTGTTTTTTGCATTCAGTTCCCCCTGTGGCCACTGAGGTCTTTGCCATGGGTCACCCCAGCCCCCCTGTAATCCTTGCTGAGAGCTGGCCCATCTGGAGGGTGAGTTGAAGGCCCCATGGCCGGGTGTGAGCTGTCTTTCCCTCTGGAGAAGCTGCTCTTGGCCCTGTAAATTAGAGGCTACGAACTCTCCCATCCTCTTTCCTTTTCAGTCGGTGTCATCTCCTAATCTCTGGCATGAAATAAATGCCTGGGGTTTGAAGGTTGCATCGCCCGGAGCAACTTTTGCTAGGGCAGGGCTGGCAACAACCACAAGTTGAAAAGCCTCTGCAAGATACCAGGCTGAAAATAAAGGATGGAGCCTGTTTGTGATGCACGTGTGTGCTGCCACAGGCAGATAACCTTTCAGGGCTGCATCTTAAAACAGTCAGCTTTCATGCTGTGGTTCCCCCAAGCTACACCGTGCCTGAACTTCCAAACTGGGATTGCCATTAAAATCTTTACAGTTGCCATTTGCAAGGAATTAGCATCACTGTGACACCCCGGTGATATTTCCAGAGAGCATATTATAAAGGTTGGCATGGCCTCGCTACCCTGTTCCTTGCTTCTGGAAAGAGGGGGGCCAAAAGATGACGCTTTAATTACTGTACGAGGTAAAAGATAAATAGTTACGGAGCCTGTGTAATCTAAAGTCTTCTGAAAAATACATATTTTCAAAGTAGCTGGAAAAAAAGCAATATGTAGTCGTATCTGCTGATCTGCAGCAGATATGGATCGCTGTGTGTTTGAGGATGGATTGAAGAGTTTGACTTCGCCGGGAGCGGACCGTCTTACTAACCATGGGTTTTGTCTCTTCTTTTTTTTTTTTTTTTTTTCTCCTGTCTTGCAGCACCTTCTCCAGTGAGTAGTGTGAAAAAAGGGAAGATCACTAAAAATAGCATCTCCCTTTCCTGGCAGGAGCCAGATCGACCCAACGGCATCATCCTGGAATACGAAATCAAATATTTTGAAAAGGTGTGACAGACTGATTGCTGAGCATCTCAAGTACCTTCTCTTTACTGTCCTCTTCTTTCAATTATAATTATTTGAGTCATGGAAGGGAATGGAGTGATTTTATGCATAAATCAATGTCAGATTGATTTTGCAGTAAATGATTAGGAAGACTTGAAATGAGGGTGTTGTTTTCCATTAGTGTGCCACTTCTCTTGAACAAATACATTAAATCTGCGTGTCAGATTCCTCTCTGGCCTTATCACATTAAGATAGAGCCTGCTCATTTGATAAAAATAGGAGAGGTTGGGGATTGAGCGTCTGTCTCCTCCCAGAAACATCAGACTATCCCTTGCCTTTGGTATTTCTATGTTTTGCATCCACAGTGCAAGGAGAGGAGAAGGCTTTTGGGGAGAGATTGTACCTCCTCTGTCATGAAGAAGGGCATCCTGGCTTAAAAGCTTGCCTGCCTTTTCCAGCTCTTGCTCTCAGTCTGATGGAAAGCACTCTCTTCCTACAAAACTCGCCTCTCCTAGTCTTCATTCCAAATGGTGACTTGTTCTCTTCCTGCAAAATTAATGTGGTTTAAATGAAAATGATAACAAATGCACTTAGTAGCATCTTTTGAGTGATGAAGCCTTAGATCTTTGGAAAGAAAGATTCCAAGAAAAGATTCCAAAGATCAAGTTTGGAAGAGTCTATGTGAAAACAAGAGGAAATGAATGAAATTGAGTCATGATTCACTCTTTTGGGGAGTTGAATTTTTACTTTAAGGAAGATCTTCCATGGAAGGGACCTGCTTAAGCAGCCCATGCAGACAGTGGAAAGAGTTTCAGAAATCTTCAGCATTAGGATAAAATCAACGTTATTTTTGCAGATGAGTGAGCATGGGTAAGGCCACAGAATGTGTGAGTAGCTTATGTGGGGCTGAGGTTTCCAAAAAGATTAAAGCACGAAGGAATCAGGAAAGGCTATTGCTGGAAATAATCCATTACTGATTCTTTTATTAACTTGGCACAACCGTTGTGGCGCGTTGCATCCTTACCTGAGAAGCTTAGTTTCCAGAAACCTGATAATCAGAAAATAATTAAAGCTAAAAAAAATTCTCTATATTTGTTGGTTTTACTTTGTTTTCCAACAAATTGAGGGGAGGAGGGGCTTAAAACCTTGTATTTGTGGTCCAGAACTAGTCTCAAATAGCTTCAGTAAACAGTTCTTTAAGTGCAGGCCCTTCCTGGGAAGGCGGCTACAGCCGGTCGGAGTTTATGCTGTCTTGATTTATTTCTTCCAGACTGGTAGCAGAGCTCAGTGTTTTCTGTAAATGTTTAAATGTTTGCAGAGGCCAGCAGTGTATGGAAAACCTAATTGGGCTGACATACAAGCAGAGATGTGACCTAATATTCACTTACGGCTTCTTAACCAGCCATTGAGTTAAATTTGGGATGTCGGCCTTCATCCTTCTTGTTTGCTGCTGCTGGCATTTATATTCTCTCAGTTTTCAGCCCTTTATAAGGGTAAATTTGCAGTGTTCGTTTCCAAGGGATGAGAGTGACCTATATGAACTGTTTTGAAAAATGGAGTTTTGTCAGATCGCATTCCTTTAGGAGAAATCGCTCCTTAAGAAGAAAAAAAAAAAGGCATATATATATATATATATATACACACACACACATACACAGTCTTGTGGAGCTACAGGCTTCAGTGAGAAAATCTGTAATTGTGTAGCTACAGGCTTCAGTGAGAAAATCTGTAATCCTACATTTGGAGATTCCCAGGGCTTTATCCAGGCACATTGCTATCTGCAAGAAAGTTGCCCATTAAACTTAAATCAGTTCAGATCCTAAGAGTTACGCAGAAATCTTGGTAGGGGATTACTAAGAACTCTTGTTTACCTCGTAATAATTTGGATTTGAGAGGATATGGTGAATAAAAAGCAGTTTTCAAATTTGTAGACCTTAATTTATGAGCTCTTGTCTAGATTATGTGTTCCAGTAAATAATTCTAAGAGTAATTACCAAGCATTTGAGTGAAATTTTAATCAAAGAACTCAAACTCTTTCACATTAGAAACTGATGTAAATGAAGATTTATTTCAGCACGTTTTCTTCCAAGTTCATTGCTTCAGAAGAACAATGCAAAATTAGGTATTTTCCTGGAGTTTTGGTTTATTATCCCCTTCCCAAGGTCTGGCTCGTGTTTCTAGAAATGCTAGCATAAAGTTGTGTGATGTATAATGCACTGTTCTCTTTTAAGCCTAATTACATTACTGGGAAGTCATTTTGGTATAAATTAAAATCCCTTTCTAAGGTGATGGGACTCTTTTCCTCTTCCCCACACCTTGGGATCGATTGTTGTAGGACGTACCTTTCCATTGGCTGAGGGACTTGGGTCTTTTTAGTCTGGAGAAGAGAAGGCTGAGGGGGGATCTGATCAATGCTTAGAAATACTTCAAGGGAGGGTGTCAAGAGGATGGGGCTGGTCTTTTTTCAGTGGTGCCCAGGGACAGGACAAGAGGAAATGGGCACAAACTCAAATGTAAGAAGTTCCACCTAAACATGAGGAGGAACTTCTTTGCTGTGAGGGTGACAGAGCCCTGGCAGAGGCTGCCCAGGGAGGTGGTGGAGTCTCCTTCTCTGGAGATGTTCAAACCCCACCTGGAGAAGTTCCTATGGGACCTGCTCTGGGTGGCCCTGCTTTGGCAGGGGGTTGGACTGGATGATCTCCAGAGGTCCCTTCCAACCCTGTGGGATTTTGTGGTTCTGTGATTGCCCTGCTCCATCACCAGCAATGGAAAGCTGCTTCTCCTGCAGATGACAGCTTGGTCCCTCTATTGTCATTTTTGGGTTCGAAAGTTCCTCTGCTCTGTTTCATACCTCCTGGAGTCACTGATTATAAAAGAGAAAATCAGATCTCACATTTTGTACTGCAGATAGGGCCTTCAGGCCGGGGTTGGGGGGTGAGGTGGGGAATAAATCCCCAAAAACGTGTATTCCAGTCATCCTTTATAACATTGCTGTGGGCGTTGTTAAGAGCGTGTCTTTTCTGATAGCCACTGTTTGTGTGTTTGAACTTCTTGGGGTTCTTTTTTTGGGGGGGAAAAGGACCAAGAGATGAGCTACACCATCATCAAATCCAAAGAGACAACGATTACGGCAGATGGCTTGAAACCAGGCTCAGCCTACATCTTCCAGATCCGAGCCCGGACAGCTGCTGGCTATGGTGGCTTCAGCCGAAGATTTGAGTTTGAAACCAGCCCAGTGTGTAAGTCTTTTTAATTACTGTCAGCCCGTGTCTCTGGAATGAGTCAGGGGATCCATATCTTTACGGAGAGCTCTTCCTTCTCCTTGCCTCATCCCTCGATTTTTTGGAAACATCAGGGGCATCGTGATGGTGGTCAACTCAGGTGGTGAAGGTGGGAGGAGGTCTTCAGGCTTCAGGAGTGCATAGTGTTCCCTTCTTAGAAAACTCCTGTATTTATGAGAGCTGATGCAAGGGAGGACTTGTGATCAGAAGTGGGGAAGATGTGCACAGCAGGACTTTTTCTTGGCCCCTTACGAATTCGTGAGGTTTTCATTTAATTTCATTTTATTTTTAATGAATCCGATCATCCAGGTCTGGATTGTGGAGCAGATTCTGTGGCAGGGTGAACTCTCCAGGCATGCAGAGGCTCAGCTGCTCTTTCCCCTGCCTTCAGGCACAACGGTGGGGAAACTGCTTTTGTCCCGATTACCAAATTTTTGCAGAGGTATCAAAGATAAACTTCTGTCTCAGAAAATAACGTTCTATCTATTTCAGTTTGCACAACTGTCATCTATTAATTTTTTTTATACCGTTTGCACGGAAGAGAAGTTTTGCCGTGGAAATACTCTGTTTATTCCTGTGGGGAAGAGCTTGTTTTTTCTGTGTTTTCTTTGGAAATTTAAATTCGTCAGTACTTTAATTACTGTTACTCCTTCATTTAAAAGTTATCATCTTTGAGATGATGCTGTTGCCTTTGCAAGGCAAGCTGCCTTTGAAGCTGTAATAGATTTTAAAGGAATCGTACATGGGCAGATGTAGCTGTGGAGCCAGTGATGGAACTAATCCGGTGCAAATTGCATCACGATGCAAACATTAATGCAATAAGAGTGGTCTATTTAATGTATTTCTTATTGTATTAACCATTAATCGTGCCTCATAAGTAGCAACAAAATCATGTTACCCTGAAAATTACTCTGTGTTCTACTAAGGAAATTTCGCTTGCAGTTGGGAAGTTTCTAGATGAGGCTCATTTGAGTCACAGTGTTCTAGACTATTAATAAATTACAGATGAAATTATGCACATTTAATCCAGTGCCATTGGCACCTACAATCCTGGTCCAAAAATAATAGCTCTTCCATAAAGCCCGTCGGGTCAGTGTCTGTGTTAATCAGGATTTGGGGAGGCCATCACCTGGTAATATTTCTGAATGCTTTACACCCCTAGAATAATTTAGTAATACCCACACCCCAGTCTGTTTTAGCATTTGAAAAGCAGAGGAATAAGTATTTTTCTGATACTGAGGAATACCTACTGTTTGGGAGCTGGGAACTCTGTCTCTGTTGGACTTGAGCTCTGGCTGAAGCAGATGTTTAAATGCTTGGTAGGATTGAAATGGCAACATAAGCCTCAGTCTCTTGCAAAACGCAGCTCTGTTTGACATTTAAAACCTTTTAAAAAGCGATTGGGTTGGTTGGTTTATTTTTTTTTCCCCCAAGGCCCTATATAAAGTCAATATTAGTGCCAGGAGTGTTACCAGACTCCTGGAGGGTCTGAAGGCAAGTGTGGATCAAAATCTCACTGCTACATCAGAGTTCAGATCTGAACCTCTTGGTAGAGCCAAAGCAAATCGTGGTGATTCAAGCACAAATTTAAAACCTTTCGGTGACTATTGCAGGAATTAAAAACAGCCTCCAAAAATTGTTTGGCTCAAACGACAGGTTTTGCGTCCAGTTCGCGAGGTTTCTGTAAAGTTAATTTTAATGCATTTGGAGGAAATATGAAACAGCAGCCTGAGAAGTGCAATAGGAGGGAAGCCGTGACTTGTTTTTGACTTTTCTCTGTTTGAAAATTTTGGGGTTTTTTTTTGTTTTGGGTTTTTTGGGTTTTTTTTCCATGCTGCTGCCTGCATGTGCCGTTCTGCAAAGTGCTGTGTTGCAGCCAGGGCTGCGTTTTTCAGCAGGAGTTTTTCATTTGGGTGGAAGCTGTTGTTGGACTTGCTGCTGTCCTCTCCAAATGCCACCCAGCTTGTCTGGCCCTGAAAACTAACCTCCCCAAAAACTGGGTTTCGCCTGGATTGGTGAGCTAATCTGGCTGGTTGGCTGGGCAGGAGTGGGGAGGTGTCACCAAAATGAGGAGGGCTAATCCAGGTCCCCTGCTGCCTTTAAATAGCAGCAAGGTCCCAGCTTGGCTTCTGAATTCAGGCTTTTCAGCTGCCATAGATCATAGCAGGATTGATCTCATTTCCCTGTCCCTCGAGCTGTGCAAAAAAAAAACCACCAGTCACAGCTTAACGTTCTCCTTTAAATGTTTTTCTTTTTAATTATTTTGTCGAGAAAGCAATAAAACATCATCTTAAGGAGCCTCCGTAAATTCGTGAGGCTAATAAAATTTCGGGATGTATGGCGTGGGTTTGGAGCAGTTAACATTAAATATTTAATGCATGGCAGCCAACCCCTCTGAAATCACTTAGGTTGCTGTATCGTGTCCGTGCCGCTCGCCGTTGAGCCCCAAAGAGCTCCTGTACAAAGAGCTGCTTGAAACCCATTGCAGAATGATGTTTAATGCTGTATTTTTTTGCCTTTCTCTCCCTTCTTTTCTTCTTCTCTCCCTTCTTTTCTTCTTCTCTCCCTTCTTTTCTTCTTCTCTCCCTTCTTTTCTTCTTCTCTCCCTTCTTTTCTTCTTCTCTCCCTTCTTTTCTTCTTCTCTCCCTTCTTTTCTTCTTCTCTCCCTTCTTTTCTTCTTCTCTCCCTTCTTTTCTTCTTCTCTCCCTTCTTTTCTTCTTCTCTCCCTTCTTTTCTTCTTCTCTCCCTTCTTTTCTTCTTCTCTCCCTTCTTTTCTTCTTCTCTCCCTTCTTTTCTTCTTCTCTCCTCTATTAATATGGGCCTACATTCAATTATTTTATAGCCTCCCTAAAGTTAATCCTGTGCTAAGGACCCTTTTTTACTTCAATCATTTACTTAAAGACTTCTTTGGTGTGCAATGGGTTCATTCTGCTCCCCAGGGTGGGTGAAGCTTCGTCCCGGGCTGGCACAAGGGGAGGATATAATGAGGTCTTTTCCCCACACAGCAGCAGAGTCCCAGCTGGTTTTTTTGGGGGGGAGGAAGCCAGATTTGTACCCTGGGGTGGGTAAATCTCTGCAGTTCAATAAGCTGGTGGTGGATGGGGCAGGGTGAGAAGGCTTCATTTTCTGCTCGAGGAATCCCATGTGCAAACCCCAGGGGAGAGATGGGTTCCTTCCCCTGCAGTGCAAAGTAGATAAACAAGAGAAAACATGATAAAACAAGAGAAACATTTCCATTTTAGAGGCTGCAGGAGCTTCCTTACCTGCTCTCACTTAACCTGTGGCAAAACCCAGCTCCTGAGCAGCTTTCCTGACCTTTCTGATGGCACCTTTATCACAGGGCTCCTCTCCTGCCTTTGGGCAGGAGGGCTCTTTATTAGGTGTGGGCTGGGAGAGTTTGGATTTTTAGCTGATAAAAAGGCCAATTGGTGCTAATTGTGTCTTAGCAAATTGCTGGTTTACAGAGGGTACCTCCTGACCATGGGATACAGATGCCACACGGAGTTAGTTTTTAATTATTTAGAGCTTCTTTGAAGTGCAGGGAATGCTGTTTTATCCCGGAGATTTTGCTTACATCTCCTGACAGTGACGTTCCCTAAATGTTCTCTCTACAAATGGGAACCTGTTGAGTTTTCATCTCTTACCTCTGTGATTTCTAACGCAGCAAACCCAGGAGGACAGACTTGAGTTTGCCAACTCAAAGGCTGCGTTCTGCAGCATTTTGGTTTCTGAACTCAGCGATGAGATGCGATATTTTGGGGGGGTTTTGGCTTGGTTTTGCCTGTGGTTTTGGTTTCTTTCCACCCGTTTCCTTTCCAAACTCGAGACAGACAACAAAGGGGGGGAAAACACAAACCGTAAAAGAAGAAACGAACAGGTAAGACGTGAAACCTCGCTGGTGTGAGTCACTAGAAAGACTCGTGTGGGTGCTGACTGTTGTTTTAACCTTAATCTCATTTTCTGTTTCTCATCTCAGCAGTAGCTGCATCCAGCGACCAGAGCCAGATCCCTATAATTGTTGTGTCTGTAACAGTGGGAGTCATTCTGCTGGCTGTTGTTATCGGTTTCCTGCTCAGCGGAAGGTAAGAGAAGAAGCTGGCTCTTTATACTTCTCCAACTTCTCTAATAACTTTTATCTGAGCGGCTGATGAGCGCGGTTTAGGGGAGAGCAGCGTGTGAAGGAAGCTGTGGAGGGCTGGAAAACAGCACAAGGGTGGGCTGATGGGTTTAGACAGGCAAGAATGGCAAGGGCTCACTTGCAAATGTAGTTCACTTCCCAGTGATTTTCATCTCTGTACAGGCTGGCCCCCATTATTCAACTTGATTCATGCAGGAGTGGTTTCACATTCCTTCAAAAATAAGCAGAAGAGGTAAAATATCCATACGTTCACACTCAGAGCTTTGCTCACAGAGAAAACTTGACTTGCAAAGAGAAAGAGGAGAAACCCAGCCAACCGCCCCCCCAAGTTTTGGTCAGGTCTGAATTCCATTTTTCAGGTGTAGGACACTAATGTGCTCCCCACGGGCTGGTAAATGATGATACAGAGAGGGAGTCTCCACCATGGGGGGAGACACTCAACTTCAGACCATCAAGTGACCCCATTGACTTCTCATGTGCTTAAACATAGGCAAGTGATGAAAGCCTGGGCTATACCATCTTTGACAGCTCCAGTGGAAGCTGATGGGACGTATTGGGGAACAAGGGATTGCGGTACCGGTGGAAAATCTGGGTGGTATCAGGATCAATTAGTACTGGAGCACTAAATTGGTGCACCAGCCAGCACACAAGGCACTTTATTTTTCATGTAGTACGTGTGTATTAGTACATTTTTTTTTAATGGCAGTAGTCAAATGGTGCAATGCCCTTCATGCAAAGCAACTTGAGGTGCACCTATTGACAAGGCTGAATTTGTTTTCAGTGGGGAGGACTTTGTAGAGTAGGGTTGATGGTTGGACTCGATGATCCCAAGGGTCTCTTCCAACCTGAACGATTCTGTGATTCTATGATTTATGCTTCTAATCAAACCCTCAGCCCACTGTTGCTTTCGTGACACAGTTCTGTCTTAAGCTGGGGTCTGGCAAGGTGGCTGTGAATGACAGGATATTGTAAGTGTTAAAAAGTACTTGCAGAAGAACTGTTGCTGATCCTGAACATACTGGCTGAGGGTCTTATTTCCCAGAGGAGGGAGGGTAGATGACTCTGCCAAGGCAGCACGGTGAAATCCAGCCAGGCTGAGCGAGATCCATCCCCAGGCATAAGGCATCCATGGAAGGACACAGTTATTTCCTGTCTTAAAAGGTAAGTGTGCTGCCAGACTCATCTCCACTCAAGGTCAGAGACTGACAGGCTCTTTCAGCTCAGCCATTCGAGCTCCTGTCATCTGCTTTGAGTGACTTGTTGGGCTTGAAAATGGGCAGGTAAATGCTCCTGTCTGCAGGAGAAGCACGCAGCATTCACCCATGGGGGGTGAATGGCTACGGGCCATTCACACCAGGGGCTGCAGGAGAGCTGTAGCCAAAAAGACTTGGCTCTGAACACTGTAGGCAGGAATTCAAGTCTCTCCTTAAAGGCTGGAGGTTTTGAGTCAAATCCCTTCTCGAGCAGAGCAGGGGGAGGTGGACCTTGGCTACCATGGGGTGTAGCCTGGCCACCTCTGCAAGGAGTGGTCTGTGGGGATACGTTGCAGGTGGAGGGACATAGAGCCCTGTGTGGCCATAAGGAGTCCCAGCTGGGGGGAAACCAGCAGCTTTTGCTCTTCCCAGAGATGCTGGTGGGTGCTTGGGATCCCTCTGGGGAGGACATGCCCTTGCAGGTCTCCTTTTTGCTCCTACCCTCCCTGTTCTGAGCAGGCGGCTGCCCCCTTTGGGGAGGATGTGCCCTTGCAGGTCTCCTTTTTGCTGCTGCCCTCCCTGTTCTGAGCAGGCGATTGCAAAGCCTCAGCAGTTATCATTCCTTGTCTTTCTGTCTGTTGCCCTGATGGGCTTTCCAGGATGTGCTTTCCCTCTGGGGAGGACATGCCCTTGCAGGTCTCCTTTTTGCTCCTACCCTCCCTGTTCTGAGCAGGCGGCTGCAAAGCCTGAGCAGTTTGTCAGCAATTCCTTGTCTTTCTGTCCGTTGCCCTGATGGGCTTTCCAGGATGTGCTTCCTCTTGGCTCTTTAGCTCTTGGCATGTTTATAAAAGCCCCTGTCTCCTTTGGCTAGAGTTTCATTGCCACATCTCCTGCTGCCTTAATCTCCTACCTTGTGCTTACACCTCTCTCTGTGGACCCCAGGGCAGATGCACGTTCCTGGGAGCATCTCCATGGTGCCACACTGGACGTATGGGATGGGGCAGGCACATGGAGCTGAGCTCTTGGTCCATTCTTACCTTTTCAACCCTTCCCTGAAACTGGGAGGACGCCAGTCCCTCAGCTGGAGGTGGTGGAGAAAGCTTCCAGAGCCAACGATGGTCCAGCGTTAGAAAATGAGCTTCAAAACCACAGAGCATCTTGGCCACTTCGAGTTCCTATGAATATTAAAGCCCATCTAGTGCGTTGCGTGACTCCTGAGAGCAGAAAAATAAACCCCAGAATCCCAGAAAGCTGACAGCAAATGTGAAATTAAACAAAGCAAAGCACAAAAAAAAATGGCTCATGTTTGGAAGAAGCTGAAACGTGTCGCTCGCGCTGCTGTGCCTTGGAGAAAGCAAAACAAAAAAAAATTGGTTCATGTTTGGAAGAAGCAGAGACAAACGTGTCGCTCGCGCTGCTGTGCCTTGGATATGATGTCGAGAGGATCCGTGGAGTGACTCTCCTGCTGTGACACTGTGGGGATGATAAACGTGTTCCAAGCCATGGGATAATCCCTTTCTGAAGCCGTTAACCTGTTTCTGGCAGACACTTTCCTCTCTCTTTGGAGTGGTTACGTTGTTCCAGTGCCTGGTTTCGGGGACTTAGGTTTCCTTTCCTGCTTCTTTCCTGTACCTGCTTTTAGAAAAACAGACATTTTGAACTCCAGGAGCTGCTCCAGCTGGAATCACCACTGCTTTCCACCCCGAGCAAGCTGTGCAAAGCCCAGCCTCTGTCTTTTTACTAACGTGGAAGAGCCTGCAGCAAAGCTCAGGAGAAAAACCCTCTTGCTCTGCAGCACTGAGGATGGAGCCTGGGGAGCTCCTGCAAACAGGCTCCTCTTCCTGCTGCTCCCCAGGAGTTCCTGGGCACCTCAGAATTTGGATATTCCTCCCTAGGATGCTGTATGGCATCTCTTTGCCCCCCAAGTGCCAGGCTGAAGCGAGCTGGGGTTTGAGCTCAGCCCTGCAGTGAGATGGGGACATCCTCCTGCTCTCAGCAGCTCAGAAAGTAGTTTCCCAGCTGTAGGACTCAGGATTTTGCTGGGCTTTTTATTTTCTGCCAGGTCCCCGGAGGCAGAAGTTTCCACACCTCTTCCCCTTTGTTTTGTTTTGTTTTTTTGTTGTTTTTTTTTCTCGCTTTCAAGTATCTCTGTGGTTTTCTCGTGTCTTTTGGAGGGATGTAAGTAACAGCTTGGCATTTCGAGTTGGCAGCTGGCCCTAAACCAAAGGTCAGATGAGCAGCAGGCAGGGTGGCATTTCCACATGCCAGCGTCCATCTGTGGAAATGTGCTTTGTGTCTGAAGCTGGAGGAATTTGGGAATTTGAAACTGAACGTGCTTTGCCCCTAAACAATTAAGCTGCGTTTCCGAGCTGATTGACTTGTAGATGCTCCAGAAAACTCTTCCTCTAAATAATGGGTCCTCTGACCAAGGTCGTAAATGCCGAGTGAAATAGCTGATCACTTTTTTTTTTTTTTTTTTAAGTTATCCTGCTCTTGGCATCAAGGACGTATTAATAATATAACTATCAGGATTACAAATCAAAGAGATTCACTAAATCAGACCGTAGTTGTCTCATCAAAAAAAAAAAAAAGAGAAGTGGATTGAAAATCTATTATTAAACCGGCTACAAGCATTGAATTAAAGAACATGGGGTTGTTATTGTCTTTGTTGTGTTAGGATTATGTGCTCATCTCGGAAGTGAAGTGCATTTTACAGGTGGAGCAAGGCTATAAATGTTGCTTTCCTGGCAGTACGTGAATTAGATGCCACTTGGCATCGTTGTTGCTGGTTGAAGTAAATGTAAATTTTGCTTTCCTAGAATTAGATGCCTCTTGGCATCGTTGTTGCTGGTTGAAGTAAATATATTAAGCCAAAAATCCTTGCAGACTTTCATTTTACAGTCTGTGTTGGATGGTGCCAATCACAAAGATCTTCGTGCTCCATCGTGCGAGGAGCAATGAGGCTCCACGGTCATCGTCGTGGTGGGATTAGCCCCTTTTTTCCTACAAACTGAGGTGGAAGCCAAGTTTGCATCAGCCTGGAAAGGACACCCGCTGCTCCAGAGCAGTCCTCCCTCTTTTCCCTGTCAAACCAAGCCCTGTTTGCAACACTGATGGGGTCTTAGGTTGTGTGTTAAGAGACTTCTGTCCCTCTGGTCCCCTGGGCATTTGGGCTCTGTAGAGCTGAGCAAAGCCATGGGCTTTCACAGAGTATAATGGGGGTGCTATTAGGTCCATGCTGTGCATGTTTGCAAAAGCTGCTCCAAATAACCAAGAAGTGTCCTGTGTATCTGCATTTAATAGCTAGCTACCCATTATGGATGACCTTTCCATCTCAAGTGATCTTCCAAAGAACCGGAGGGAGCTTTTTATAGAACTTATTTCAAAAAAAAAAAATAAATAGATTGGAAGCAACAAAAAACCCTGCCCCTTTGCCCTGTGTCATACCTATATAGAAAGTCTCTTTCTGGCAGGGAACTAGCCTTCCAAAGACAAAGCAAAGACAAATCTTGCCACCTGGGTATTGGCAATTAGAGGCTTCTGCACCAGAGTATCCATCCTTGACCTTAGCTGATTTAGACTTTTAAATATCAGCCCCCGCGGTGGCAGAGAGCTACTTTCTGGACACAAATATGTGCATCTTGTTAAAAAGTGACTTTCAGGGAGTAGAGAGGCTGAAAGGATTGTGGTGTATATCCTGGGTCCTGAGCCAGTGTTTGCAGCCTTCCGTGATGTGGAAGGTCAAAATGGA